CGTCGCCCCGCCCCGCCATACGCAACTCAAACGAATTTCTCCGCTCGCTTTGTCACGTCCAGCGCCCCCGGGCGACCCGCCGCCCGTCCCCGACCGCCGCCGTGTTCGCTGTCGGCGCTGCTCGTCGTCGTCACCGTCACCTCGCCTCCACTCCCCCAAGTAGGTAGGTGGTGCAGCTGAACGCGAGAGGGTCGTGCAAACTGCCGTGCTTCGCGCACGCACCTTGTGTAGTGTGCACGCAAATAAGGGGACCGGGTGCGGTCGATTTTGTATATATAATTTGGCATGCAGCTTGCGCTGCCGTAACCTCGGCAACCCCACCCCCCCTCAATGCAAACCTCCCCCGTGCTCTATGCGCCCCCACCCGCGTCATCCAGGGGTGCGATTGGAGAGCTCACGGTGTGTTAGCTCACTTGAAAAACGTTCCCAGAACGTTTCCACCACCCCCTCACCCTATTTTGAGCGGTCTAGAATGCGCGGTCCGTGAGTTCACAGTGAGCTCACCGTGAGCTCTCCAATGGCACCCCAGCCGGGATCGAAAACTGAAAATCATAGCCTATGCGGTGAAAAAGTTCTCTACCAGAACCTGTTGCATTTTCTAAGTGATTTGAGTAACAATAAAGTTACTAAGATTCTGACGAAAGTATTACAGAAATTTTGCATACAAAAAAGGGTTAAGTTTCTGTATGGATTTTGATAGGATAACAGGGCTTTCTCGTCCTGTGGTTGGATTGTGACTGTGACTGTAGAATGAATGGAAGCGTAAGACAGGTGTTGCCCTGGTTAGTACATGCACGGCTCTGCCTGTGCTCCACTCGGCCGCACCTCACGTCATGTCGCCGGAGTGAGCCTCATGGTGCCCGCCATACGGCGCGTTCTAGAGTCCTATAGTAAAGGGCTCTAGCGCATTCTCTAGAGGCTGTCAATAGGCCGCCCGTGATGCCATGGACCCCCCCCCTCCTCCCCTCCCTTCCCGGCCCCTCGTGGGGCTTCCTGCTGACACTCTCCGCTCCAGACACCCGCCGCAGGGCTGGAGGGGCGCACCGCGCCCGCGGGGGGCTCCGGAGGAGTGGAAACGGCACTTGCCACACACACAGGCTCACATGCACAAAAAGAGAGGCTGGGGGGTGGGGGTGGGGGTATGAATTGACACGTTGCGCGTCTGACGCGCGGCCACACTGTGCGGTCGCATTGTGCGATAGTAGCTGAGCGTGTTAAACATATTGGGTCAGGATGTACGAACGAATTCAGCGCGATGAGGAAGTCTAAAGAGATGTGGTATTTTTGTGCCTCCGCGGGCGACGCGAACGAACGCGACGAGCGTGTGGTGCACCCTGCGCTTGCAGTAACCCTACCCCCCACCCTAACCGACCCGACCCCAACCCTCGCTGTCGGCTGTTGCACCGCGGGCCGCGGGGCGGCTCTTGTCCCGTCGCTCGAAGCGCATTCCCCCT